TTTTTTTTGTTGAGTTTTTATGTGCACTGCAAAAAAAATACATTAAAGAGAGACAGACGTTTGTCTCTCCGGCGTGTTTTCCATCTGTCCGAATTATCAGTTTTATCATTCTGTCTATTCAAATTATCAGTTTTGTCCTTGTTTCTCTCCGGATGATTCAAAAACAACTTTGGGAATCCCGTTATCGCTAAGCCCTATAAGCGAAAAAAAATTTTCCCCCTACGTATTTTTGAATTCTTTCAAAACTAATCTAATTTAAATTGTACTGTGGTGCTTTTGAATACCTCAGCCTCTTAATGAGAGTCAAATGTGAAGATTTTTAATCTCAGCTTACAATGAGTTCAATGAGACAAGTCGGACGAATCCACTCCCTCTGAATAGTGACAAGGTCTGATATCTGATATTATCCTTTATGTTTTTGATTATTTTTTCCTTGCGCTTTTTCCTTATATATTTTTCATTATAATTTTGATCATTTTTTGCGTTTTTCTAATCTTTCCTTCACGAAGTACAGCTTGGCCAATAGTGGATTATCAGTATCTGATTGCTGACCCAACTACTAAAGGCTCTCTCCCTCTCTTTTCCGACCGCTTCTTAGAAGCAAGCCGTAGTTGCTTGAAGCCTCCTAAAATTTCTGTTTCTGCCAAAATTTGCATATTTTGTCGAATTTTGCGATAATTTTTGGTAATCGCTGAAAGATTATGATTTGGTCGTGAAAAATCCCAAAAGGACCAAGACAACCAATTCAGTCGGTATGGACATCCATTTTAATACTAGTGGAATGCTGGGCACAGCTACGCTAGGCCGTATAAACCAGTACCAATTAACCATCGCTCGACGACTTGCGGGAGGACCGGTTTTTCCGGCGTCGGCTTCGACCCATTGATCGGAGCGGTGTCATACAATGTGATTTGGCGCTCCAGTTTTCGTATCTTTTGTTTCGGTATTACAAACGCACCCGAAACAACCACCCCTTTCTTATGCGTTTTCATTTGCTGTGTTCCAGAGCTTTGAGTACCATTTTGCGGGAAAGAAGCCTGCATCAACTGGACCT